GTATCCATCATCTTCACCTGAGAGACTGGCAACACACACACACACACACACGATCAAATGTTCCTGGGAGCTGTGGCAAATCAGAGTTGTCAGATGTTCACTGAATTGAACGAGGAAAAAACAGAATTTGATCTTGCATAGAGGCTGATCACTCAGTTTTACCTGAACAGTGCAGTCAGTCGAGACCTGACTATGATTAAAATGCCCCCTTCAGCTTTCAGGAAACACCCAGCTGACAGCTAGTAGCCAGCGGGACAAGATGTGATCATCAAGCACAGGTGCACATTAAGATAGAAGACAAAGGACGGGCAGCTATGCCTGTTTAGATTTTTTTTTTGATTTTTTTTTTATGCAATATGATTATTCTTTGTGCTGCTGGTATTGAATCTGTCTAACAGTCCTGGAGACATCAATTTTTCATCTTTGATTGTTTGTCTTCATACTGCACTGAACAGATACAATACTGTATACATAGATGCAGATGCACAATGGCGATTGAAATTAACATCGAAGTAAGTTTTTTTATTTATCCAATTGCAAAAAATAAACACATTATATATAAATATATATACATACACGTCGTACAGGTACTGAAACTTAGTGAATGGCTGCAGCAGTTCTAAGAGAATTCATTGGGCCCAACAAAACAGGCCAAAGAACTAAAGAACATCACAGGGCAGATCACCTGGAGCACAGCTACTGAGTCAAAGCACTGCAAGAGTTCACACACCTCGAGAGACATTGTTATATAAAAAGTACATTTGAATTATTTGGCAAGAAGTGACTTCTGGTATGTTCTCCCCACAGAGCGGCCCAGCCTGGCCTGCAGCTAACATCAGTCTAATTGAAATAATCCAATTTTCTGCTAAATATAAACAATTAGCATCATTGCATATATGCAGGTGTAAATATACCATCACAGGCATAAACTACATTTTAAAATATAATAAAAAAAGAAAACATTGTTTTATGACACACATAGTACACACACACATATCTTGGGGTTTTCATGTTTTATGGGGACCTTCCATATACATGATGATTTTTTTTTTATCATGTATATTTTTATTAGGGTTATACGCTAACCCTAAACCTACACATCACAGAAAACTTTCTGCATTTTTAGACCCAGCTAAACTTTGCAAAAACATCCAATGTCCCAAAACTGTGTGGAAAAAAATGTGTTATGGCCTGACGTATACATCTAATGTGCAAACAATGAAACAAACAGACAGCTGATGTGAGGATGTGAGCCGGTCTTCAGATGCTTATGTAGAAATATTTCAGTCTTTCCAGCTAGTAAACTGATTAGGGAGATGCATATAGAATTTTCTGGATTTAATCTAATCACCAGAACATTGCACAGGTGCCTTTCACTGTTATCGTGGCACACATACTGTGAGAAAACTAATTTAACATAAAACAGGCTTTAAATGCTTTGGGAAAAAGGCAGTCTTGGCAGGATGGAAGAGCTCTGTAAATCAGAGAATCATGAGATAATGAACATGCTGGCTATTAAAGTGATTTGCCTTCCTCGGGCAAGGTGAATCGGACTCATAACCCGCCAATAACAACCAGCAGTGTTTCCCACTGAAAGTCTGTTCAGAAAGTACAGTAATGTAGAGTTATGGATAAAGGACAACGGATAGGATTTTTTTATTTTTTAAATAGCATATCTTGAACACTCAATACTACGCCAAATGAACCTAGATAATGAGAATAGTACAGACTTAAATGAATCACAAAAATGTAGTAGTTCCTCTTTGTCTGATTTGAAAAATGAGCTGACATGCTGTGAATGAATGCTAGATAAGATATGTCATGAGTTTGGTCATTCTGCCGGTGATCGTCTGAGACAGTTGTGCTATTTGCTCTGGGCAGAGATATTTGTGCAGAGGAAAATGTCACATGGACAAGTAAATCCATTTTGTGACATGCTTCTCTTTCGTCTTCCTCTTTGGAATACATTGAAATTTGTTTTAGGATCGAACAACGATTTGCAGGTCTCTCAGTAATGTGTCTTTGCCACGATCCTGACATACGAGCCATCTCGTTTTTGCTGTTTTTCCTTTTATCTGAGCCGATCCTGGATGCTCCTTTGTTGTGTTCGCAAGTCAAACAGTCCTTTGCGCTTTCCGTGCCAAAATTATGACCATAAGCTTCCAAACTAATAATGCCACATAAATTTCTAGTATAGCCTAAGCTTCTACAAAGCGAATTATACTGCTGTGACAGCAGTGACGCTTGGCAACTAATAGATAGGGACCCTCATGATGGCATACTCATAAATTATCGGAATAGCTTCGGAAAATCTTTAGTTCTTTGGCTTATTCCACGATGATTTACCCTGAAAGTGTATCTATGACAGACCAGTGAGTCTTTCTTTGAATTTTCACTTTCAGTAAATTAAAGACATGATCAGTTCATTTTAAATGGTTATTGGCTTGTACAGGCCAGATCTTGGCATACCTCTGGTTTGCCTTGCCCACCTTTTAGCTGAAACTTTTATCCAAATATCCATTACATTTATTACGGGGTCAATCCCCATGACGTCCTGAGGTTAATAGCTTTGCTCAAGGACGCAGTGAGGATGGCTCTTGGCAGGGTTCTGAACCTACAACCTTTTGGTTACCAGCCAAGATCTTTAACCACTAAGCTACAGCATCTTTTGCACTCTGTCTTTTCTAACTTCTCCCTACCTTTCTCTCGCTGAACTGTATTTAGAGTAAACGACCACAGAAATTTAGTATCATCATAGCCTTATTACGATTTTTTGGCATGAAATTAATGTTTTTCAGTTGACGTAGATGATTGTATGCTCATATTTACTCCCTGAAGCAAGTCTACATGTTTTAGCAATGGGTTCTCAGGAGAAACTATAATGCTTTATTTTCTTAAATCATTAATTGTTTGTTTTCCATCTGTCACTGTAATGCAATGCAGATGACAGTAATTATGCCGGTTTGACGCTATAATGTCAACTGTAATTGGGTACTTCAACAGGTTGAGAAGGCACAAATGACAGTGTACTATTTCCATGTGTCCTCTGAGTAATGGGGATTGTCTGGTGAGAACAAGAGTTATAAAAGATGTAGATCTTGGTTTAGACAGCCATATGTGAATGCATTTCTGTTTGATTCTCCTGGTCAAAAGACTGATTTGACTTGGGATTTGGAGACGAATAGCTAAATATTGTTTGAACATGGCAGATGCTCATTAGAATCAGATGTCAGATGTGTCTACACTTCTCACATACAGTATGAGCAAGTCCTCCCTCCGTCCAGGGTTGTTTCTGATTGAGTGAACAGCTGAAAGCAAATAGCGGATGTGTTTTCATATTGAATACACCAAACTGCCGCTATCAGTCATTTCTGCTATGGCTCTTCTGGGACAGTTTGTGTCTGGAACCTGTCTTTGCATATGCCATATAATTTATTGCCATTCGTCATTCAGATAGTTGTCCAGTTTGGCATACACTGTTGAGAAAGGACAACAGCATGCAATCTTATTTGGTACACATTTGGAAACACATCTGGACTGTCGCTCTTTGTCTCATTATGATTTTTTAATCACTTTTATGTCTAGTGTACACTGAAAAAAGAAAAAAAATCACTCAGAAATTGCTAGTAAATTTCACAAATAATTACAAAGAAATGGCAAATAACACTGAATTAGAAGTAGAAAGACTGTTTTCTTGTCAAATGTAATCCAATAATATATATTTTTTTCAATTTGTTTTTTTTTTACAGTGTATGCAGCACATTAGAAATGACAATTTACAGGAACTTTCATGGTTGATTGTTACAAAAATTGATCAATCCATTAAATCGCTAAACACTGACAATTCCAAATAATACAATAATCACGATATAGCCTATTTTTATTGACAATTTAATTTAATAAAAAAAAAGAAAGATTAAGTGAAGTAATTTTAAAGAAATTGGAAGTAACGTGAAAGAAATGTAACTATCGGGATTTTGTATTCAATTTACAATAAAATAATGAACATTTTATATAATATACTGTATAACAAATATTTATTATATTTATTATAATAAATATCATCGTAATATAAAGTTATATATACATATATGCATTTTATATTATGTAATAAATTATATAATAATATGTATTATAGTATATACAATTATATTTATATAAAATAAAATGTATTGTTACATAAAAATATGATTAGTATTTTAATAAGGCTATGTGTAGTATGAATTTACTGTGTATAAATTTTTTTTTAAATGCGGATATCTTTCTCCATTTCTAACCCTTTATCCACGTACATTTTGTGAAACATAAAACTCAGCTTTTAAACAAAACATCATTTGTCTTTAAGTCAAACAATAACACATTGCTACACTGGGCATGTTGCCATTTACCTTTAACACTCTATCACAGTGTTTGCAGTGAACATTGTCATTATTTATAGAGACATGTTGTTGAATATGCCAGTCCTAGTGGTACACTTTTATAATTTGAGTGTTTTTGTTGCGCACGTCGCCCACTACTTGTATTACTGAACATATAGCTGATTCTGCTGGAACTTAATTCATTTAATAATTAGCATTTTTACAACACATCAAGCCACATATCTTGTGTTTTCATGAACATGATGACTAAAACCAGCTCAGTGTTAATTTTCTTTATATCTACTGGAAAAAACTACTTGTCTTGGCATTTTAGCCTTTGTAACTGTGACCCGCTGGCTACCAGCATGGAGTAATGACCAGCGGGAGCACAGCCTCCATCCTCCAAATGCTTTGACTCTTTAATATGCTGGTGTTAATGGAGCCTGCAGTCAGAAAAGGTCTACCATGATGGGCATCTCAGCTCAGTAAACATTGGCATCTCTCAGTTCTTCCTGCATCTTGTGTCAAGGGTGCTTTCACTCTCCTAAAATAAATTTGTAATTTAAGGGCTGCTTCACTGCTTTATGTTGTGTTATTTCGTGTGATCATAATGTTTTTTTTCTCTCTGTTCTTCTTTTACAGAAAAATGTGATGAAGCTCTGGTCACACCACTTCCCCATAATGCCTTCACCAGCTCCTCAGTGTTCACTAGTGGCTATGCACCTGGATACGCTAAGCTAAACAAAAGAGGAGGTACTGTAAAGCATTTTCATAATACTTGCTCATACACGTACAGTATTCACACCCACCAATGTGAATTGCAGAATGAACAGACCTTTTTTTCTCTCGACACAATACCTCAATAAACACTCTTGAGCTGTTGTTTTATGACAGCAATATATTACAAACTTCAATTTCACAGGTGCTCAGACTTGATATAGTTTTGTGTCATTTCAATAAACATTCATGCACTATATGGCACCGCAGAGTCATTACTTCAGTAACTCCAGGCGTGAATTACTGGCTTACAATGGCTCATCCCATTATGCCAAACTGTGCTTTCGGAAAACACTATGTGCTTAGGACTAATTGTGCGAAAATCTACAACAGATGTGGCAACGTTATGATTTATCTTGGTGATATGTGCATAATTCACATATTTATTATTTTCATTTTGTTCCTCGCCACTCATTAAAAATGTTGTTTAATTAAAATGGAAGTTCTTGTGTCCTCGTAGGACGTCTCTGAAGTTTAATTTGGCATCTGCGACAGAACAAGATCAAGTTTTTTTCTTTTTATGAGGGCGAATGTAGAAAGAATTGAACCCACTGTTAAATGTGCGTCAGAATTTTGCTTGCTTTTTGAATTGATGGGCTCTCAGGGGAGAGCAGATTCAAATTTATGTTTTGTATATGGGAGTCTGGAGACCGTGGGACTGACTTTAAAGGCTTTAAATTGCATGTAATTTCCAAGCTCAATGAGTCACTTGGCTGTATTATATACAAAAACCCCTCTAATATGTAACTGCTTTGTATTACAAATTCTTTTAAAAGCGTTTAGGCACAGTGTACGCTGCATATAAATCTTTCTTACTTGAGACTATCTCTCTGTAAACGGTACTGCCTATGTATGAAGAAACGGGTGTTCTTTGAATGTCTGTATTAATTAATTTTTGGTTGTTTATTCTGTCAAGCAGAGCTCATGCATACATGTGGCAGTTTACTTCAAATGAATAGTTCACCGAAAAACTCATAGCTTGGGTCGAGTCGTTATTCTGTGATAACTTTTATCGTTATTTTATGTAGGGATTCACAATATATTACTACCATTTTGGCCATCGGATGATTTTAGAGAGATTTTATTATTATGATTTTTTTATTATTATTGGTATTGGATAAGTTATGGTTAACAAAAACTATTTAAAAAATTTGATTAAAAAAAAACTAGAAATGTTGCCTCTGCTGCAACTAACTGAAATAAACAAGTTTTAGCTGAAGTTCTAAAATTTCTAAAGCTGAGGTGAAAATAAAGCTGTAACGAGTATACCCTGTTCTGTTGTTTGCATTGTGTTTTTGATTCTGTCCTGAGATCTAGTTTGCCTCAGTCTGTTTAATTAGTTATGCCATTCACCTGTGCCTTTTCAATCTCCTCGTTAATAATCTCATTTTGTTCTGTGCACTTAAGCCTTCAGTTCTCCCTCAGTGTTTGTTTGTCTTCGTCAACAGTATAGCATGTGAGAAGTATATTTTGTAAGATTTTAAGTTTTGTTAAAGATCCTGTTCTTCCTTGTCTTCGTGAGCTTTTATCAGCACGTTTCATGACAAAAGCTAAATGGAAAGTAAAATGATAAGATCACATAACAAAATTACTACCTCTTAAACTAAAATTAAAATAAAGAAATAACGAAATAAAATCAGGTTTGTGAGGATGTGAGGGTGAGTAAATGATGAATTGTTATTTTTGGGTGAACTACTCCTTTAATACCTCCTCCGCATAGAACGTATTTAGGAGGATGGTATGTTTAACAACTAGATATAGTTGTTGTTTGCTTGGTTTTTGTGTAATATAACCAGAATTGCTTCAGTGATGGAAATAAAAGTTCAGACAGCATAAAAGCACACAAGATTGGCAGGTGACGGTGGTAACAGCAGCTTCCAGGTGTAAGGCTGGCATTTCAATTCAACCACCTTTCTCACTGAAGGCCGGTGGGGTTTGTGAGAATAAGCAATGGGATATGCCCTCTGGCACTGCCTCCATCAGCAGTCAGCATAGTGACACAGGGTTCCTAGTCACTCTGAAAGCCACACAGTGGTGTCCAACGAACATGTTCTCCAACCTGCCCGTCTGCACACATGAGGTTTCATATCAATGGCATGACAGCTATGTGCACAATGGCAGCTCCCCCTTACCAACCCCAATTTACTTTAGAGACACCTAGGCGAGTAATGCTTGAAGAAACACTCAGATTTGAGTTGGTTTTTTATTGGAAGTCTTGGTGATGTGTGTCATGTTTTTCCCCAGTATCATCAGAGATTGGATTCTTATTACTGTATGAAAGTCATAGGCCATAATGCATGTTAATGACGCCTTATCAGAGTTGAAGAGAGGTTATTCCTGTCAGTTGTGTCATTCTTGCCCAGAATTCCCATGCAGATATGCAGTTGTCATCGATCTTGCATAAAGTTATTTAGTCATTAAGACAGTGAATAATAGGGTGATGTCTGGACCTCATCCTGTCGATGGAGTATGACATTTTTATATATAATACACTGAGGATTTTTCTCTTTTTTACTCAATGTCATGAATAACAATGACACTGCGGACTCTCTAATGAAATCCACATCCGTACAGCACATCTGTTCCGCTGAAATCACTTTTTAAAATATAATTAGCTTTAGGACAATGACTGTGACCATTTCCAATGTCACTGAACTGGAGAGCCAAGAAAAGATCATTTTGACAGCATTAGAAGTGCCCAGTCGTGCCAGAGTACAGGATGCCGTGGGACCCTGGATGATGATGTCACAGAAGAAGGCTCATTAGTTATAGTTAGATGAGCAGTATCATGCCAGACTAATTCCAAAGACTATAGATATAGAAAGACGGTTCACTCCTATTAGTAATGAATGGGAGAAACTGCAATTGGGAGAGCCAATTGCTGTTTGAAAAAGTCATTGCGTCACTGCAGCTGCCAATAGAAACTGGTTTCCATAGAAACCTGAGACTCCTGCTTAGGACTGCACATGCACATTGGCTCGACTAGCTTAAAAAAATACCTTTTTAATGCTATTTGAGGATTAGAAACAACATTTATGGGACACTTCATGTCAGATTTTGTTGCTGATTTGAAATATGTGTGAGATCTGAGAGCAGATCAGAGATTATTCATTCAAACAAAACAATTACAAATACTTAATGGCCACGCAAGCTTCAAAAACATGAGCCTAGCTTAAGGAAGAACGTTGCCAACACTAGGTAGTTCGTATGGATTGGTTCGGAGATGGCACAGCTTGAGTCCCACAAAGATAATGCCTGAGGTTGTTTGACCCCCCCAAGACAGATATACAAAACAGACCTTTTTCTTCTTAAAGACCTCCGAGTGACCTCTCATGGAAATCTCTTAAAAAACACATAGACGGCTTTTACATGATCAAAATCCATCAGATAATTTTAAAACAATGCTATGGACTTAAAATCAAAGATCGTTCAACTGCATAATTCTATATCATGTCTACAACCTATGTGACTTATGCCTAGATCACACATAATTCATGCAGTTTCTATAAGTATTGAATGGTTGACTGAAAGTTTGTATTGTTCCCTACCAGTATGATCATCTGCTCATAACTCAGAAGATGACTTGAATGAAATCTGTGTAAAATGTATTGTATTCTTAGTATAGAAACCATGTCTTAATTGTACTTTGCTACAGCGAGAAAGTTAAGTGACTCAGATAACGTGTAATTTATGGTCAGAGGAGGAGAAACGGCCACATCTGAACCAAAGACGATACTCTTTTCTTTTCCGTTGAGAGTCTCGGTTCTAAGTTAAGTTTTGCTGTAAAGTTTCGGTCAACGGTTTAACAGCAAAGCCTACTTCCAACTTCAAACTTCATCCACGAGACTTTCCATTCATCCGCCAACACACCAACTTGATTGGCCTCCCAAGAACGTGGTTCCAGAAACGACAAGACCGCCAGCCAATCAACGAACCAGGGAAAACCCCCTTTTTGAGCAAAGGATGCCGACAAAGGGAATCTACATGCAAGGAACACAAATGCAAGATATACATTTAATAACCCCGCCTAATGAACGATAGAAGGGTTAAATTGATGATTAACGGTTCGTTCAGGTCAGGTTTTACAAAGTGCACATAGAAACTTGGGATTTCATCATTTCACTCTTAAAACTCATTCCTTCCTCACTTTCTTTCTGCAACTCATGTGTGCGTGTGTGTGTGTGTGTTTGTGATAGATAGTAGTTTTATGTGTTAGAATACTCAATAAAGCCTTGTTTATATATTTGTTTAAAAGATAAGTGTCATGTGTTATGTGCTTACTAATAAATAGTGTTTTCACTATAGTTTGGATATTAATCCGCTGCAGAGCTGATAGTTACTTGCCCGTTCATGTGAACGCTGGACGATAAAATAAGTGATTCTTTCAAAATTCCCTATTAATTAATTAATTCCCTTTGCGCTAAATTGACCTGTTTCCCTTGCGTATGCTATTTGAGATTTCAGGATTCCCTCATTCAAATAGATAGGACTTGGTCTTGGATGCCTGAAATAGCTACCTGGAGGTATTGCAAATATGGCCGCAGAGTGAACAGACTTTCCTTGAAAAGGACTTTGGTAATGCCAATCTGTCAGCATGCAACATTCTGTCTCCACTAGTGATGCATTATTTAGCCATACTAATGTATTTTAAAGAGAGCACAAAATCAATAGAAAGCAGAATTGTTATTTATCTACTTTGATGGGTGACAGTTGGTTGTGATATCCTCCTATATTCTTAATCCATCCCGCCCACCCGTCCGTCCGTCCGCACATCCATCCATCCATCCATTCATCCATATGATGGGAAGTCATATCATATACAGTCGATATCCTTTAGCTTTGAGGTGTGGTTAAATTATTATTTATAGTACAAATAAAACAGTTCTCAGTTTATTTAAAGTCCAAATGTGAGACAGAACTTTATTAACTGAATATAAAATTGAAAATAAGATGCTATAAAAAAAGCATCAATACTA